CACACACACACACACACACACACACACACACACACACTGCTGTGTGATCAGGTTAATCAGGCCTCAGACTGAAGTGAGTTAAAGGTTGTACTTTGTCCTACGTTTCCCAGAATTCCTTTCAGTAACATCAGGAGAGCTGGAAGCAATTTGTTGTTGGGAAATAAACAATGGAATAAACTAAAGACTTCAGGCTGCCTCAGATGAACAGGAATATAGCACATGTGGTCTGGACTCTGTTGGTCAGGTCTCAGCTGCGAGTCCAGAAGGAGGCGGTGAAACACCTGAAGCTGTTTGTACCTGAGAAAAGCAGCAGAAGAAGAAGAACTTCTGACCTGTAGCAGTAACAACAGTAACAGTCCATGAACTCAGATGAGATATTTGTCTAATCTCTAATGTCTGAGGAGCAGCTGATTTATTCTCATACTCAAAGGTCAAAGGTCACAGTGACATCACAAAACACAGTTTGGCCATGACTCATAAATTCATCGACTAATTATGACAAAAATTAACTCAAATGTTTATGAGGATAAAATTAAGTGATGACATTTTATATCCATAAGGTCAAAGGTCAATTCACTGTGACATCATAATGATCTGCAGAAACACTTTTGGTCTTTATTCAATGCTGTCACTCAGGAAGGAGACTGTGACCATATTTGGTCGACACTATAGACTGTAAATAAAGATGGACGTTGCCTCTGTGACGTCACCCACAGGTTTCTGAAGCTCAGAGTGAGCTGCTTCATTGTCGCCATCTTGGCAGTACCTGACTCCGACCCTAACTCCCAGCTAATCCAAATAAGGTCAAAGAGGAGGGGCGTGTATGGAGCTGAGACTTAGGTGTCAAACATATGCTCACCCACCTGTCACTCACAGAGGCCACGCCCATTTTCCTCCATAACTGTAGTCCTTAATAAAATGTGAACAGGTGAGTTTTATAAACAGGTGAGTTCTATAAACAGGTGAGTTTTATAAACAGGTGAGTTTTATAAACAGGTGAGTTTTATAAACAGGTGAGTTTTATAAACAGGTGTCATGAAGGAGGAAATTATCTCTAGAGACCAAAACAGTTTCTGTACCAGGCTGTAAACATGTTTATTTCTGCTGTAAAGTTGGACATTTTAACATGGGAGTCTATGGGGACTGACTCACTGATGGAGCCAGACATCACACACACACACGCACAAACACACACACACACACACACACACGCACACCTTCACACACATGCACACACAAACGCACCTTCACACACACACGCACACCTTCACACACATGCACACACAAACGCACCTTCACACACACACGCACACCTTCACACACATGCACACGCAAATGCACCTTCACACACACGCACACACACGCACCTTCACACACACCCTCAAACACACACCGTCACTCACACACCTTCACACACACACACCATCACACGCACACCATCACACGCACACCTTCACACACACACCTTCACACACACTTTCACACACCTTCACACACACACACCTTCACACACCTTCACACACACACACCATCACACACACACCATCACACACACACACCATCACACACACACCTTCACACACACACACACCATCACACACCTTCACACACACACACCATCACACACCTTTACACACACACACACACACCTTCACACACCTTTACACACACACACCATCACACACACACACACCTTCACACACCTTTACACACACACACCATCACACACACACCCCTTCACACAGACACACACAGACAGACAGACAGACACACACACACACACACACACACACACACACACACACACACACACACACACACACACACACACACACAGAAATAAAGATAAATAATAAAGTTTCATTCTTCTCTTGTTGACTGAGTTTTATATTTGAAGAGTTAATTATATTCAAAGTTAATAAATCTGTAAAACAATTACTGATGAATGTCTGTTTTTTTATTAAAGTGATCAATTAATGTTAAAGCTAAAAATAAATAAATTAATATGAAATGAAATATGAGCTAAAGACGAGTTACTAAATTAAATCAAAGTTTTAGTTAATTATTTTAATTAGAATTTCCAAAGTGCACAGAAAATAGAAACATAAAAATGAGATATTTATTAAGTGACTGTTAGAAACAGTAATTATCCTCGTTCATGTTGTTACAACACGTGTTGTGAAAAGGCAGATGTTGATGTTTACAGATGTGAAGTAAACAGCTGGAGCTGTGGCGTCTTCACTCTCAACGTTTGTATGAAAACATCAGTTTCACACATGAAACCAGTGGATCAAACACTGGAAGATCTCACACATGTTGACGCTCCACATCCGACCATGTAACAAACAAAACGTCCTCAGAGCTTTTTATTTTAATGATGAAGATCAAGGATCCTTCAGCATCAGGGCCACATGTGAAAAATGTCTGTTTTTAGAATTAAAGTAAACGATGTGGTCTGGCAGCGACGACATGAGGGTTCCTGTCCTAGACAAGAAAAAAAATATTTTTAAAGATCATTTTGTTTTTAAACATTTAAAAACATTATTTACATTTTTAATATAATTAAATCTTTTTTTCTTTTTTTAAAATTATATTACTTCCTGATCCATTAAAACCTTCTGTAACTTAGTCACAAAGAAAAATAATGAATCTGATCAGTCAAAATAGATCAAAGGGAAACAGTTCAGGACAGTGAAGCAAATTAAATTATGAACTTCCAACAAGAAGAAAAAGAAATAAAACACAAAAACATAAATAAATAAATAACTCAAACAGAAAATATCAAACACAGAAACTAAACCAAATAATAATAATTACAAAAAGTGTCGGCCCACTTCCAATACCTTCACGGTCCACCAGAGGGCCCCGGCCCACAGGTTGGGAACCACTGCATTAAAACACAGAAGCAGCTGATTCTTAACAATCAGTTTCACACCTGGAGCCGGTCTCATGTAGACCTGAGCAGAACCAGGATCCTCATCAGGTGTCGGGTCTCAGGTCCAGTTCACACCTGGTATGAACTCGAGTCTCAGATACTGTGGTGTCAGAGGTCATCAGAGGTCAAAGGTCAATTTGTTCAGGAAACACCTCACTGTCACAAACAGGGTCGTGGTGTCAGAGGTCACTACAGCTGAACCTGACCTCAGGGTTCTGCAGACCCCTCTGGCTGAAGGATTCACACCTGTGTCACTCAGAAATGTGCTCTGGCCACGCCCACCTGTGATGTCAGCAGGTCCTGGAGCACACCTGTTCATGACTGCAGCCAGGTGAGGTGGTTTTTAAACCTGGTTCTGTGGGGGATCCGTTCTCAGACTTTGGGCCTGGTTCCTCTTCTGAACTTGTTTACTGATGTCGTCACCTGAGCTTGTGTCGTCAGGGGCAACCCTGATGCTCGGGTCATGAGGGGGGACCGGGGGACCAGAGTTAACCAGGTCCTCTGCTGCTGCGGTGGCGTCGCCCTTGTCAGCCTCGGGATCAGTGGGGGCGGGGGGGGCGACATGTTGTCGACTGCCGCCACCCTGACGGTGTTCTTGCCGTACAGCCGCCTCTCGTACTGCAGCAGCTGCTCCCAGAAGCCGGCGTTCAGCCTGACGTAGGGCCGGCTGTCCTGCACCCAGCGGTGCGCCTGGCGGAGCGTCACCCCCCGGAAGCGCATCAGATAGGCCATCACCAGCGCCGGGGAGCGGCTCATGCCGGCAGCGCAGTGCACCAGTGTGCCGCCCGCTCGGTTGCCGTGGATACGCTCGGCCACCCGGTCGAAGTGGTCTCCGAGGCGCGCGCTGGGCAGGTCGCAGACGGGAACCCGCACACATTCCACCCCTGGGTAGGCGGGGCAGGCGTGGCTGAGCGTGGCGTTGACGATCAGGGTGATGCCTTTCTGAGACACCAGCGCCGCGTTGAGGGGGGCGTCGGCCCCGCTGATGAACAGGGTGGGGGTGATCTGAGAGACCGACATGAGGCGACCTGTCGGGACACACGAGCTGCTGTTAGGACTGGATCATCGTCAATCAGCCATCAAATGATTGATTTCTGCTGTGGAGTCAGAGACCCAGATCTGGACTTATTTACATCCAGAGGTTTGATTTATTCTTCTAGAAAAATGTCGTCACATTGAAGAGTTCAGTCTTCAGCAGACGAACTTTCTGCTGACCAATTGATTGATCGTTCGGAATTGTTGCAAACACTAAAAGAAATCAGTCACATGGTTCATCTCTGTATCTAGGACCATTAGCCTAGCTTAGCACAAAGACTGGGAACAGAGGGGAAACTGTTAGCCTAGCTTAGCATAAAGCCCGGAGGCAGAGGAGAAACTGTTGGCATAGTTCGAGACAAAGACTGCATCGGGAAGAAACTGTTAGCCTAGCTTAGCATAAAGCCTGGAAATGGATGGAAAACCGTTAGCATAGCTTGGCATAAAAACTGGAAACAGAGGGAAAAATGTTAGCCTAGCTTAGCATACAGAGTGGATCATGACAAAACTGTTAGCATCTTTTCTGATGAAAAGTGAGAATCAGTTTTTCTCTGTTCCTCTGGAGACCAGAGCCAAAAACCTGAGGAGTGTGTCAGACTAACATGAAGACATGCTCCTTATCAAACACTGTGTGTGTGTGTGTGTGTGTGTGTGTGTGTGTGTGTGTGTGTGTGTGTGTGTGTGTGTGTGTGTGTGTTACCTGCTGCCTGGTTGGTTCCTTACTTCGGATTTGGTTGTTTCTTTGTCTGATCAATGCTGTGAATGAATCACACTCTCTCACTCTCTCTCTCTCTCTCTCTCTCTCTCTCTCTCTCTCTCACACACACACACACACAGATACCTTAGATGGTTGTGTTTGTCAGTCATCCAGCCAATCATCTGAAGGGTTAATTTTAGTCCGACAGCTGAAGTCATGTGACTTTTTACCAAAATAAGAGACTGAAAACACAGATCAGTCACATCGGTCAATATCTGATCAACTGGTAATCAATTCTGGTAATCATTTCTGATTACCATTTGTTTTGCCTGCATTTATTTCTCCTTTATTATTCTTATTCTTATTATCATCATTTCCTGTTTTATTCATTTTTATCTTTCATGGGAGGTGGGTTTGATACAGAAGAGGATTAGGGCCACGAGTCAAAAGTCAAATCTAAAAACAGTTCTCATGTGGCCCTAATCCTCTTCCGTAGTTTGACCTCCGTTTTCTGTGAATCTGTATTTTACTGTGAAGGTGTTTGATGTAGTTTTTAATCTGTCCTGTAGAGGGCGGGAAGGCCCCGCACTGCCGGCGGAAGTATACAGGACGAACAATCAGCGAAGAAGAAGTCGTGCTAACAATTAGCCAGTTAGCTTGCTCGGTCATGGCGGACCTGAACCGACAGCTCCAGGAGTATTTGGCTCATTCCAAAGGCGGCGGCGCTAAGACCATCTCCCAGTCCAGCTCCAGCACCACGGTGGACCTGGATGAGCCGGAGCCGGTACCCGGGAGCTGGTTCGGGCGGTGGTCCAGCCCGCGGTCAGGCCAGAGCTCCAGCGGAAACAGCGGCTTTTCTTGGCCGTGGTCGGCCGAGCCGGACCCCTGCCTGCCGGGCATGAGCCGCCGGCAGCGGCTGGTTGCCTTCGGGGTGTGCGTGTCGTTTTCCGCGCTGTGTTTCGGACTGTCCGCGCTGTACGCGCCGCTGTTGCTGCTCTACGCCCGCAAGTTCGCTCTACTCTGGTCGCTCGGTTCGCTGTTCGCCATCGCGGCAGCGGCGGTGCTGCGCGGCCCCAGCAGACTCGTCGCCGGCCTGCCGACCTCCCCCGGGGCCGCCGTGTACTTGTGCGCCCTCGGAGGGACTCTGTACGCTGCGCTGAGCCTCCACAGCACCGTACTGACGGCGCTGGGAGCCGCCCTACAGGTCACCGTCATCGTCGGGTACGTGGTGTCGCTGCTGCCCGGGGGCAGCGCCGGGATCCGCTTCATGGGAGGGATGGCGGCCTCTGCCATCAAAAGGACTGTTACCGGGAAAACCATGCCGATCTGACCGGAGACTAAGCGCCAGACCCGGGGCGAGGTCACACAACCAACAGGCTCAAAGCTCTGATTCCTGTAACCAGGTCCGGCGGCCAGATTATAAAGGACCAACTGTAACTGACTGTCAGTACATTCCCCTGCAGACCGACATGTCGAGGAAATGTACAGGTGATTGATTATTGGTTCCTGTCAGCTGACATGAAAAACAGACTAAACCCTGAACTTTGACCTGCAGGACAGACGGACTGATGCTCTGACCAAATCAAGTTCACGGGTTTCAGCTGTCACCTGATCATCTGTTGGTCTGTCATGTCAGGTGCAAACAGCTGATGAGGGAAAATGAACCAATGAGAAGGAGACGCCTTATTGTCCAGATGTTTCCTCGTGTTAATGTAATTATATTGTAATTATAAAATTCATTAAAAGACTAACTCCTTCTGTTTACTGATGTGACTGTTGAAGTGAATCCAGATCTGATGTAGAGACAAACCACCCCCCCCAAAGACCTGACCCCTTAGACTTAACTGATGTGGCCTGGTCAGTGATGGAGTGAGAGACTACAAGGTAAATTAAATGGTGTAAAAAAACAATTTAAAACATGTTTAATACAATTGTGGGTCTGGGACTTTTGATTTGACACTTTCCTCCTTCACTTCCTGTTTGTAAACAAAATAATGTTGGTGCAGATAACACCACACACTGAGCTCTGTGTCTATACTGTCAGTCTTTTCTCTTGTAATGCTAATGTTAGCGTTAGCTCCTTTCATGCTTGTTTGTTTACCATTCTTATTTCCTGTTTTTACACTTCTGGGGCGACCCTTGGTAACCCCATGTTTAATGTCAGAAATAATCTGCAGAATAAATGTCTGGTAGAGACTCATGTCCTCAATGGTTTGAACCAGCATCACCACAAACAGCTGACATGACGCATGACTTCATGTCAGTGAGTAAAGCTGTTCAACAGAACACAAATCATTAATAATGAAGGAGTTCATTAGTTTAACGAACTTCATCCACTCAGTAAAAATAACTGATCTGTTAATAAAGACATACTGTTAATTGTTACTGATGACACCTGCAGTAACTTCACTGTTCTAACTGGGTCACTGTAACCCTCCTGATCTAAAACACTGTACAGTGACTTTATGCTAAGCTAAAATCATCCTGGCCGGTCTGAGTGGTCCACATGTGGCGCCGTGGTAACGATTTGAAGTGTGAATCTTTATTGTCCACCTCAGTGGAGTCGGTGAAGACACAAAAACATAGAAATCTTTTACAAAAACAAGCTGAGGACAAAAGTGGACTGTGAAATAAAAGAGACGTGATGCTTCTCTACAGTATTTTACATTAAAATAATCCTGTGCTTCAGAGAGGTGGAGACACCAGATACCTGTCCCCTCAGGTGAGTCACTGTGGACCAATCACAAACCACCGTTCTTCACAGCAGCAGCAAAGATCTCAATGTGTCACATGACCAAAAGTCTGTCTGAGGGTCCGTCAGGATCTGCTTTCAGGATCTGCGCTTGGTCTCATGTCTGAGGAGGACCAGCAGGAGCCGACCGGAGGAGGAGCTTCACAGGAGGCGTCTTCCTCAGGACTACCGGCCCCGGCCACCCCCCCTCGGTGCTCCTCTGGGAGCTGGTCCTCCTCTCCTGGGGCCCAGTCCTGGCCCGGGTCCTCCTCCAGGACCCCAGACGCCTCGTCCGCCTCGAACAGAAGGACCATAACCCCCGTCCTCCCTCTGGGGCGGACGACCTGCAGGACGAGACGGAGCGGAGCTGAGTTCATGTTTAATATATGAAAATCACATGGCCACGTTCACAAACATCAACGTGAGATGTTTATAAATAAAGAGAAAAATATACATTATTGAATCTATATATATGTCCACATTGAATATATATCTATATATATATATATATATATATAGATAGATAGATATATATATGAGCTGTGTCCACGGCCCCTGACCCCTAACGACGGTCGTCCACATGAGACCACAACAATGGTCAGGTGAAACCAGTACTTTCACAGGTACTTTGGTGGACCCACCCACAAGAGGTTAAATACCTGGGTCCTTCTCCATTTTCTTGGTCAGACTAGTGCGGACTAGAGAGACCAATACATGATGAACTGATGAAGCCGCTTGGATAAGAGGCGAAACGTCTTCCACAGACAAATACAAGTCCAGTTGCCTTCGATTTAATTTGAGAGAGAGATTACTATGACCTGGACGAATGAGAACATTCACAGACATGAGCTGTGTCCGTTTCCTTTAGACTTGGGACATTTTCATTTTTACTAAATAATTCTTTGACGTCTTTGAGAGCGACGTTGGTTTGTTGATATACTTACAAAAAGTAAATCTAGAGAAGAGGATCAGCAACATGTGAACATTTAAAAAAAACCTCTCAGACATCTGAGGGCTCGTCCTCTGAGGAGCAGGAGGACAGTGGACGAGGCTTTGTCTGTATCTGTCCCGTTAGTTTTACCTCCGTCAGCTCCGGGGGACTCCCGCTCTCGGGGGTCTCCGGTTCCTGGTCCGTCCTGCCACGGACGCTTCCTGGGGGGCAGAGACGCCATGTCCATCCCCTGCAGGGAGGACGAGCGCTCGCGACCGGCTGGAGATGTCCCATCATGCATCTGCTGACCATCCCGATAGCCGTCGTGACCTACAGACAGGAAGACGAGGAAAGATCCGCCACAATAAGAGTCTGAGGATGAGGAAGAGTTCATTTCACTCACAAAGTGCTTCAGATGATATGAAGAGTGTGAGAGCAGAAGGTGACAGGGCTGATGGGAAATGTAGTCTGGCTATGGGCTCATTGACAGAAACATCCAGCTGCGAAAGTAACTCCCACATTCCTGGTAAGCTAACAGTAGCATTAGCAGTCTAGAGTACAGCATCAAACTTCTTCCTTCACTCACTAACATCTGTCTCCAGATGTGTAACAAACATCAGTGTTAGCTCTACTGAAGTTAGCATGCTAATAGCTAGCTCTCTGTCCCTGTGGCCTGCAGCTGCTCAGAGGACGTGTTACAACCTCTGGGATAATAAACATAAAGATGACTGAAGCTCTGATCAGGTGACCTCCACCTCCTCCCAGCAGGAGGCGCTGCTCAACTGTTACTGATCAAAACTGACAGTCAACACTTTCCGCCTCACCTCCTCCTCTGGGGGGACCTCCTCCTCGGGGCGGCCTCCCTCTGCCTCCGTTGTCCCAGCCTCGGCCCAAGTCCTCAGGGCCGTCGAAGCCCTCCTCCTGGCCTCCGTACTCGTCGGCGTACCCTCGAGCTCCGGGCCGGCCGGGGCCTCCTCCTCTGAACCTGAAACAGAGTCCAGAATCCAGTTCAGCCCAGACCTCAGAGTCCACAGACCTCAGAGTGAAGAGAGACCCTCTGACCTGTCGTCCCTCCGTCCTCTAAACTCTCCTCCGCTGAACCTCTCGTCAGGGCCCCAGTTCCCTCCGCTCCCTCCTCCTCCTCGGTGGCCCCCCCCCCTGTGGCCTCCTCCCCCCTGGTATCCTGGTCCAGGTCCTGGTCTCCAGCCCTCCTCTCCTCTGCCGTGAAAGTCCTGGCCTCCATCAAAGTCCTGCGGTCCACGTCGACCCTGCTGGTTGTCCCCCCAGTAAGGCCCCGAGCCCTGGTCTGGTCCCCCGGGGCCTCCAGGACCCTGGCGGTCTGGGGGGCCCATGTGGTGGTTTGGCGGTGGCCCCCGAGGGTCTCCTAGATGAGAAGAGTAGAGTAGACAGTCAGGACTGAGGACCAAACCCCGGATCAGTCAGACCAGTATCGTGTCTTACCTTTGCTGTTGGGCCCCTGCGGCCCCATCCCATGCATCATGGGCCCCGAGTTCTGGCCCTGTGGAGACAGAATCAGGACTCATCAACCAGCACCTTACACCTGATCGTGGACCAGTCAGAGCGCAGATCACGGTACAGAGGAATCACAGGAACTCACCTGGTGCTGCATGTATGGGGGCCCCTGCATGTTACCATGGGGTCCTTGCATGTTTCCTGGGGGGCCCTGCATGTTTCCATGTGGTCCTTGCATGTTTCCTGGGGGCCCCTGCATATTTCCTGGAGGTCCATGCATCCCTCCTGGGGGCCCCTGCATGTTGCCCATCCCATAGTTGTTTGGCATGTTGCTGTGTGTCCTGGGTGGGGGCCCCATCATCCCACCCTGCATAGGACCCTGGGGGCCCATCATGTTCCCTTGAGGTGGCATCATGCCCCCCTGAGGTGGGGGCCCCTGAGGATCCCTTGGACCCATTCCTCGAGGAGGAGGGCCCATCATCCCACCAGGGGGTCCCTGCATCCCTCTGGGTCCAGGACCCATACCGTGAGGCCCTTGGGGGCCCATGTTTCTGGGGGGGCCAGGATGTCTCTGCATACCTTGGGGTCCTTGCATGTCTGGTCCCATCATGCCCTGAGGGGGCCCCTGGTGAGGCTGAGGTCCTGAGGGTGGCCCCATCTGTCCAGGGGGCATAAAGGGTGGCTGCATGCCTCCAGGGCCCATGGGGGGCCCCATGTTGTTGGGCATCTGCTGAGGAGGCATGTTCGGGGGAAAGCCCTGCTGACCCGGAGGCATCGGACCTCCAGGCCCTCCAGGGCCAGGGAAGGGGGGCAGAGGGCCCTGCCCCTGTGGGGGCCCCATGTTCCCATCTGTGCTCATCTGGTTCATCCGGTCGATCTTCATCTGCTGCAGGAGACAGAGACCAGACTCTACTGAGACTGACACTCTACTGACACTCTACTGACACTCTACTGAGACTCTACTGAGACTGACACTCTACTGACACTCTACTGAGACTCTACTGAGACTGACACTCTACTGACACTCTACTGAGACTGACACTCTACTGAGACTCTACTGAGACTGACACTCTACTGACACTCTACTGAGACTGAACTTCTACTGACACTCTACTTGTTTTTAGACCTGACACCTACTGAACACTCGTAGCTGAGACTCGTACTGACACTGACCTCTACTGAGACTTCTACGTGAGCGTGGGAGGGTCTGAGACTTGACACTCTACTGGAGACTCTACTGAGACCTGACACGCTCCCCTACTGAGACTTGACACTACTACTGAGACTGACACTCTTACTGAACTCTAGACACTCTAACTGAGAACTGCTACTGAGACTGACCACTCTCTCGAAGCTGCCTACTATCGAGACTACCTTACTGAGACTGACAACGTCTCTTATGCACATGACATCTATCTTGAGCACCTCGACACTCCTACTGACACTCTAGCTGACACTCTACTGAGACTGACACTCTACTGACACTCTACTGACACTCTACTGACACTGACTACTGACCGGAGACTACTTACTGAGACCTGACCTACCTACTGAGACTGACACTCTCACCTGAACATCTACTGAGACTCTGACTGAGACTCTACCTGAGACTCTACTTGAGACTGGAACTCTACTCACCTGTACTGAGACTGACTACATGACACTCTACTGGACTCTACGACACTCTACCTTGGGAGGCGACACTCCTACACTGACAGCTTCTACCTGAGACTCTTACTCCGACACTCTACTGAACTACTCTTACTGACTTCTTACTGCACCACTGACGACTCTAGACATGACACTGACATACCTACTGAGACTGACTGCACGACTGCACTTACTGACTTGTACTGACATCTACTGAGACTCTACTGAGACTGACCACTCTACATGAGACTCTACTGGAGACTGACACTCTACTGAGACTGACACTCTACTGAGACTGACACTCAACTGAGACTCTACTAGACTGACAGCTCTACTGAGACTCTACTGAGCACTGACCACCTCTACTGACACTCTACTGAGACTGACACTCTACTGACACTCTACCTTGAGACACTCTATGACTCGAGACTGACACTCTACTGAGACCTCTATGACTACTGAGGTACTGACACCTCTACTGAGACTGACACTCTACTGAGACTCACTGAAGACTGGACACTCTACTGAGACTCTACTGAGACTGACACTCTACTGAGACTGACACTCTACTGACCACTCTACTGACGACTGGACTGACACTCTACTCGACACTCTCTCGACACTTACTGAGACACTTCTACTGACAACTCTACTGAGACTCTACTGGACTGACTCTTCTACTGAACACTCTACTGGAGACTGATACTCTCCTGACACTCTACTGAGACTGATACTCAACTACTGTGACACTCCTACTGAACTGACGATGGACAACTGCTATTGACACTGTACTGACACTCTACTGAACTCTACTGAGACTCTACTGACACTCTACTGAGACTGATACTCTACTGACACTCTACTGAGACTGACACTCTATTGACACTGTACTGACCTGACACTCTACTGGAGCCTCTACTGAGACTGACAATGTACTGACACTCTTACTGACACTCTACTGAGACTTCTACTGAGACTGACACTCTACTGAGACTCTACTGAGACTGACACTGCTACTGAGACTCGTACCACCTCTACTGAGACTGACACTCTACTGAGACTCTACTGAGACTTGAACACTCTACTGAGACTCTACTGAGAACTGACACTCTACTGAACACTCTAACTGACACTCTACTGAGACTGGACACTCTACTGACCACTCCCTGACTGACACTCTACTGAGACTGACACTGATACTGAGACCTGACACTGTCTGACATCCTACTGAGACTGACACTCTAACTGAGACTCTACTGGGAGACTGACACTCTACTGAGACTCTTACTGAGACTGACACTCTACTGACAAATCTACTGACACTCTACTGAGACTGAATACTCTACTGACACTCTACTGACACTGTACTGACACTCTACTGACACTCTACTGAGACTCTACTGAACATCTACTGACACCTCTACTGAGACTGATACTCTACTGACACTCTACTGAGACTGACAACTCTATTGACACTGTACTGACACTCTACTGAGACTGACACTCTACTGAGACTCTACTGAGACTGACACTCTACTGAGACTGAACACTCTACTGAGACTCTCTTGAGACTGACACTCTACTGACACTCTACTGACGACTCTACTGAGACCTGACACCTTACTGAGACTCTACTGAGACTGACACTCTACTGAGAATCTACTGAGACTGACACTCTACTGAGACTGACACTGTTACTGACACTCTACTGAGACTGCCACTTCTACTGAGACTCTACTGAGACTGACACTCTACTGACACTCTACTGAGACTCTACTGAGACTGACACTGTACTGAGACTCTACTGAGACTCTACTGAGACTGATACTCTACTGACAACTCTCTATCTGACTACTGTAGCTGACACTCTACTGACACCTCTACTGAACTCTACTGACACTCTACTGAGACTGATACTCTACTGACACTCTACTGAGACTGACACTCTATTGACACTGTACTGTACACTCTACTGAGACTGACACTCTTACTGAGACTCTACTGAGACTGACAGCTCTACTGACTGAATCACTACTGAAGACTCTACTGAGACTGACACTCTACTGACACTTCTACTGAGACTCTTACTGAGACTGACACTCTACTGAGACTCTACTGAGCACTGACTACTCTACTGAGACTCTACTGAGACTGACACTCCTACTGAGACTGACACTGTACTGACACTCTACTGGAGACTGACACTCTACTGAGAACTCTACTGAGACTGACACTCTACTGACACTCTACTGAGACTCTACTGAGACTGACACTCTACTGACAATCTACTGAGAACTTTACTGAGACTGATACTCTACTGACACTCCACTGACACTGTTACTGACACTCTACTGACACTCTACTGAGACTCTACTGAGACTCTACTGACACTCTACTGAGACTGATACTCTACTGACACTCTACTTGAGACTGACACTCTATTGACACTGTACTGACACTCTACTGAGACTGACACTCTACTGAGACTCTACTGAGACTGACACTCTACACGAGACTGACACTCTACTGAGACTCTACTGAGACTGACACTCTACTGACACTCTACTGAGACTGACACTCTACTGAGACTCTACTGAGACTGACACTCTACTGAGAACTCTACTGAGACTGACACTCTACTGAGACTGACACTCTACTGACACTCTACTGACACTCTACTGAGAAACTGATTACTCTACCTGACACTCTACTGAGACTGACCTCTATTGACACTGTACTGACACTCACTGAGAACTGACACTCTACTGAGACTCCTCACTGAGACCTCAGCTCTACTGAGACTGACACTCTACTGAGACTGTCTCACTGAGACTGACACTTCTACTGAGACTCTACTGAGACTGACCTCTACTGACACTCTACTGAGACTGACACTCTACTGAAGACTCTACTGGAGACTGTACACTCTACTGAGACTGACACTCTACTGAGCCTCTACTGACACTCTACTGAGACTCTACTGAGACTGACACTCTTACTGAGACTGACACTCTACTGAGACTCTACTGAGACTCTATCTGAGACAACCATCCTCCAGTCAGAGGAGCCTCTCACCTCCAGCAGCATGGGGTTGGTGTACTGCAGAGCTGCCATCTCCTGCTCAATCTCTGCCTGAGTCTTCTTTTTCACGTCCGCTTTCTGCTCCACCTTCCGGTCTTTGGCGAGGTCTCCTGAGGGAGGCATCATGGGGACCTTGTTCTCCGCCCATGCCTGCACACAGGTGGAGGAGATCACAGTCAACAACACACGACTACAGCCTGACCAGGTTGTTGTTCAACAGACTGCAGTCATGTTGAAAACAGCCGTGAGCTTCGTGGGATCATCAGTGTGTCCAGGTGTTGATCAGGTGTTGATCAGGTGATGATCAGGTGATGATCAGGTGATGATCAGGTGATCTGCTGCAGGTGTTTACCTGTTGGAACTGCGCTGGAATCGGTTTGGCGTACGGTACTTTCTTCTGAGGGACCTTCTTGGCGTCTTTCCCCATGACCTCGTCCATGCCCCAGTCCAGACCGGGGATGGACATTTCCACCTCAGGAGCCGCCTCTTTATCTGGAGACCACAGTTACACACCTGAGTTACACCTGACACTCTGTGAGACCTTCAAAGACCTAAAACTCTGACAGACACTTTCCGCTTCCATTGAGTCTGTCCCAGAAACACTGTTATAAATATTATACTGATCTATACTGATAATATAATATTATACTGACGGTATAATATTATATTATCAGTGTAATAACTGAACATGAGCAGGAATAAACTGTAACATCAGGTCAAATATAAAACCTGGAGAATAAAATCATAATATTATAAAACTCTAAAGTAAATAGACATTAAATTTTAGTGTTGTGATACTGAGACGATTTGACTTTATTCTCATTAAATTTCAGCTTTTTCCTCAAAATATTATTGTTATTATTAATTATTATTATTAGTAGTAGTAGTAGTACTCCTACTTCTACTTCTACTACTACAAATAATAATAGTATTAGTATTATTATAAATATTATTTCTTTATTGTTGAATGATTTTTTCCAGTGGCTTTAAACTCAGTTGTAATTTTAACATTAAAACTAAAGACAAACATTCTCACTTCCAGGACTCAGAGTTCACAGTCTGTCAGAAACATTTCGTTCTCTCTGTTGTTTTCATGTGAGTCTGGAAACCTGGGATCTGTCCCAGGATGTTCCAGGACTCTCCAGGACCAGACTTACTGCTCTGCTCCTGCTCCATGGCGGCCTTCAGCTGCTCGGGGATCCCCATGCCGGGGATGGAGGCCACGCTGTTCGGCTCCAGGTCATCTGAAACACAAACGCACAACCATCAGCTGAGAGTCAATGAAGTCACAAACGTCTGTGTTCTGATGTTTGTCCTCTATCGCTCACCATACTCCACGCCGTCCTCCGACATCCCCGGCAGCAGGTTCAGGTTGTAGCGGTCTCTCATCTTGTCGCCGGGTCGGTTCCTCGTCCAGAACTTACTGCAAATAAAAAGCAGAGGAGGTAAAGGAACCGCGGCAGGTCCCGCCTCCAGGATGTTTCCCATGTGACGCTCGTACCTGGTGTGGTCATTGGAGCCCGAGCACAGGATGTGACCCAGCGGGTGCCAGGCCAGACTCCAGATCATCCCCTCATGGGCCATCTCCATCCCTCCAACCTCCTTCTCCACCCTGACAAAACAAGAACCAGTTAATCCAGACAAACCAGTACACATCACAACACACCAGCAGAGACCAGCAGAGACCAGCAGGGACCCACAGGGACCAGCAGGGACCAGCAGAGACCAGCAGGGACCAGCAGGGACCCACAGAGACCAGCAGAGACCAGCAGGGACCCACAGGGACCAGCAGGGACCAGCAGAGACCAGCAGGGACCAGCAGGGACCCACAGAGACCAGCAGAGACCAGCAGGGACCCACAGGGACCAGCAGGGACCAGCAGAGACCAGCAGGGACCAGCAGGGACCCACAGAGACCAGCAGAGACCAGCAGGGACCCACAGGGACCAGCAGGGACCCACAGGGACCCACAGAGACCCACTGAGACCCACTGAGACCCACAGAGACCCACAGAGACCAGCAGAGACCAGCAGGGACCAGCAGAGACCAGCAGGGACCAGCAGAGACCAGCAGGGACCAGCAGAGACCAGCAGGGACCAGCAGAGACCAGCAGGGACCAGCAGAGACCAGCAGGGACCAGCAGAGACCAGCAGGGACCAGCAGAGACCAGCAGGGACCAGCAGAGACCAGCAGGGACCAGCAGAGACCAGCAGGGACCAGCAGAGACCAGCAGGGACCAGCAGAGACCAGCAGGGACCAGCAGAGACCAGCAGGGACCAGCAGAGACCAGCAGGGACCAGCAGAGACCAGCAGGGACCAGCAGAGACCAGCAGGGACCAGCAGAGACCAGCAGGGACCAGCAGAGACCAGCAGGGACCAGCAGAGACCAGCAGGGACCAGCAGAGACCAGCAGGGACCAGCAGAGACCAGCAGGGACCAGCAGAGACCAGCAGGGACCAGCAGAGACCAGCAGGGACCAGCAGAGACCAGCAGGGACCAGCAGAGACCAGCAGGGACCAGCAGGGACCCACAGAGACCAGCAGAGACCCACAGAGACCAACAGAGATCAGCAGAGACCCACTGAGACCAGCAAAGACCCACTGAGACCAGCAGAGACCCACTGAGACCAGCAGAGACCCACAAAGACCAACAGAGACCAGCAGAGGCCCACTGAGACCAGCAGAGACCAGCAGAGACCCACTGAGACCCACAGAGACCCACTGAGACCAGCAGAGACCCACTGAGACCAGCAGAGACCCACTGAGACCAGCAGAGACCAGCTGAGACCCACTGAGACCAGCTGAGACCAACAGAGACCCACTGAGACCAACAGAGACCAGCAGAGACCAGCAGAGACCCACAGAGACCAGCAGAGACCCACAGAGACCAGCAGAGACCAGCAGAGACCAGCAGAGACCCACAGAGACCAGCAGAGACCCACAGAGACCAGCAGAGACCAACAGAGACCAGCAGAGACCAGCAGAGACCCACAGAGACCAGCAGAGACCCACAGAGACCAACAGAGACCAGCAGAGACCAGCAGAGACCCACAGAGACCAGCAGAGACCCACAGAGACCAGCAGAGACCAGCAGAGACCAGCAGAGACCCACAGAGACCAGCAGAGACCCACAGAGACCAGCAGAGACCAGGTTTACATCCAGAGACCTGGTCTGAGGTGGAAAAGTGTTTTTCTCTCCTGGAGGTTCAGACTGAGTGAAATGATCTTTAGTCTCAGAGTGAGGAGAGGAGCTTCACTGCTTCCTCTCTCATCTCCTTTAGGAAACACTGGAGCTTCCTTTACCAAAGGAAAGGAGACATGCCGTCCCACAATTCCTTGCTGCAGCAACATTTAAAACCACAGCAGAGCCACATAAATGTAGAAACATCAGAGCAGCTGTTTCTGTCTGATGGACTGAAGCTCAGATCCATAAATACAGATTCATCCTCTTTCATCAGTCAGGAGTCGTCATGAAGAACGAGCTGATGAATCATGATCATCATCATCACAACTAAATCCTATAGTCTATACATTCATGTTGTTGCACTGAATCCTCCCATTGTGGAAAGACATAAACATGAATTTTCTCTATGAACAGGAAACTATAAACTTCTGTCTGAATATCATTTATTCTGATCTCTTGCTCAGTTCATGTTTTCTTATTTCAACATTTCATCCTGTTTGTTTTTGTTGTTAAAGGAGGATTGATCCTCCGGGTGTTAGAAATCAAGTCAGTTCAAATAAAAAAAACTTAGTGTAAGTGCAGTCATTGACCGTCGTCTTTACCTCAGGACGTTTTCCATGGAGGTCGAGGAGACGAGGTCAGAGAGGAGGTCATTCTGACTTTAACACCTCAGCCCTGATGTCATCACCTGTCATTACAGGAGTGGATGATGCCGTCCTTTACATGCTCCACCAGCCCATTCTTACTTGGATGAGCCAGGTAGTTACATGAGGATTATGTTCTTTGATTTCTCAAGTACATTTAACACCATCCAACCCCCCCACTCTTAAAGACAAGCTGGAAGGGATGGGGATGGGGATGGATCCCTGCTTCACGTCCTGGATTGTGGATTACCTGACAAGACGACCACAGTACGTCAGGCTGGGTAACTGTGTCTCAGAGACAGTGATGAGCAGCACTGGGGCTCCACAGGGAACTGTTCTGGCTCCATTCCTGTTCACCCTGTACACGGCCGACTGTAAATACAACTCTGAGTCCTGCCACATCCAGAAATACTCAGATGACACAGCTAATGTGGCGCGTATCAGGAACAGGCAGGAAGAGGAGTACAGGGATCTGACGATGGCCTTCAGTGAATGGAGCGACAAGAACTGCCTCCTTCTGAACACCTCCAAGACCAAGGAGATGGTCATGGACTTTCAGAGGTCTAGGCCCACCCCCTTCAGCCAGCCAACATTCAAGGGAAGGACATTGAGGTGGTGCACCCTTGTAAATACCTAAGTGTGCAACTGGACAGTGAACTCGATTGGTCCCTGAACACAGATGCCATGTACCTGAAGGGGCAGAGCCGGCTCTTTTTCCTCAGGAAGCGCTACTCTTTTACCCTGCAGTCTGCTGGGGCAGCAGCATGTCAGACACGAACACAAGGAGACTGAACAAGATGGTCAAAAAGGCTGGGTCTGTGCTGCAGGAGTCTTGACTCAGGACTATTGTGGAGAGACGCATGCAATGTAAGATGGAGGCCATCTTGGACAATACCAACATCCTCTCCACAACATCCTGGCAGGACAGAGAAGCAGCTGCAGCTGCAGCTGCAGCAAACATCTCATCTCACTGCGCTGCAGAACAGAGAGGTTCAGGAGATCCTTTGTTCTCACTGCCCAAGTGTACTATAATTATTATTGTTTATTTATTATTTACTGTTTTTATTATTATCAACAATGAGCTAATGAACACATGAATTTCCCCTCGGAGATAAATAATAAAGTATCTATCTATCACAGGTGTGTCATTATTACCCAGTGTGCCAGAAGAGCAGAGAACCATCAGAACCTCCGCTGGCGAACAGGCCTTCATGGACGGGATGCCAAGCCACAGCTGAGGACACACAACAGTCAGAGTCAATCACTGTTTTTCTCTCTCTCTCTCTCTCACACACACACACACACACACAGCTCTGCTCAGACTCACCTGTAGCCTCCTTCTTGTGTCCTCTGAACACCTGCAGCTCCTCCTTCAGGTTTCTGATGTCAAACAGTTTACACAGGTGGTCACGTGACGCTGTCAGCAGCCAATTACCATTCAGGTTCCACTTCACCTCCATCACCGTGTTCTTGTGGGCGTGGCTGAAGAGAGACAGAGAAGACAACTGACCTATAACCACAGCAACCTGGAATCCTCAGAGGATGACCACATGACCTCTGACTGGTCACATGACCACAGGTGGACGCGGAGCTGTCCTCTGTACCGAGACCTCTGACAGCTGCACCCACAGACTTTAAACATGGCTGACAAACGAGGATCAGCTGTTTCATTCTGATGGACTCACAGTGTCGCCAGACTCTGTCCCGTCTTTGGGTCCCAGAACTTGATTGGCTGTTGACTGTCTTTACTGCCGGAGACCACCAGACCTTTGGTGGGATGCCAGTCCACACACTTCACATCAGCACCGTGACCTAGAGAGAGAGAGAGAGAGAGACACACACACACACACACACACACACACACACACACACACACACACACACACACACACGAGATTCTGATCAAATTTACACTATCTGAAATGTTTGTCCTCACTGTATGTCTTCAGTCTATATGAGACATGATCTGATATGTTATATGATTGGGGCAGTTCTAATCAGGACCAGGGTTCTGTACCTCGGAGGATCCTCTCCTCGTGGCAGCGCAGGAAGTCCCAGATCCGGACGGTGCCGTCGTCTGAACAGGTGGCAAATTTATTATCTGTCGGAGAGAAACTGGAGACAAGGAGAGAGTCAGCAGGAGCCAGGACCTGGACCAACAACAGTCAGCCGTCACAACAGTCAGCCATAGCAGTCAGCCGTCACAACAGTCAGCCGTAGCAGTCAGCCGTCACAACAGTCAGCCGTAACAGTCAGTCACAACGGTCAGCCGTCACAACAGTCGCCTATAACAACAGTCAGCCGTCACAACAGTCACCTATAACAACAGTCAGCCGTCACAACGGTCAGCCGTTACAACAGTCACCTATAACAACGGTCAGCCGTCACAACAGTCAGCCGTCACAACAGTCAGCCGTCACAACAGTCAGCCGTCACAACAGTCACCTGTCACAAAGGTCAGCCGTCACAACAGTCGCCTATAACAACAGTCGCCTATAACAACAGTCAGCCGTCACAACAGTCGCCTATAACAACAGTCAGCCATCACAACAGTCGCCTGTCACAACAGTCAGCCGTCACAACAGTCACCTGTCACAACGGTCAGCCGTCACAACAGTCGCCTGTCACAACAGTCAGCCGTCACAACAGTCAGCTGACACAATAGTCAGCCGTCACAACGGTCAGCTGTAACAACAGTCAGCCGTAACAGTCAGCCGTAACAAGTCAGCCGTCACAACAGTCGCCTATAACAACAGTCAGCCGTCACAACAGTCAGCCGTTACAAGTCAGCCGTCACAACAGTCGCCAATAACAACAGTCAGCCATCACAACGGTCAACCGTCACAACGGTCAGCTGTAACAACAGTCAGCCGTAACAGTCAGCTGTCACAACGGTCAACCATAACAACGGTCAGCCGTCACAACAGTCGCCTATAACAGCAGTCAGCCGTCACAACAGTCAGCTGTCACAACAGTCAGCCGTCACAACGGTCAGTCGTCACAACGGTCAGCCATAACAGTCAGCCGTCACAACAGTCAGCCGTAACAACAGTCAGCCGTAACAGTCAGCGGTCACAAGTCAGCGGTCACAACGGTCAAACGTAACAGCAGTCAGCCGTCACAACAGCCAGCCGTCACAAGTTGCCTATAACAACAGTCAGCTATAACAACAGTCAGCCGTCACAAAAGTCAGCCGTCACAAAAGTCAGCCGTCACAACAGTTGCCTATAACAGTCAGCCGTCACAACAGTCAGCTGTAACAACAGTCACCTATAACAAGTCAGCCGTCAAAACAGTCAGCTGTAACAACAGTCACCTATAACAAGTCAGCCGTCACAACAGTCAGCTGTAACAAGTCACCTATAACAAGTCAGCCGTCACAACAGTTGCCTATAACAACAATCAGCTGTAATAACATTCGCCTATAACAACAGTCAGCTGTAACAGTCATTTGTAACAACAGTCATTTGTAACAACATTCGCCTATAACAGTCAGCTGTAACAACAGTCAGGTGTAACAACAGTCAGGTGTAACAACAATCGGCTGTAACAACATTCGCCTATAACAGTCAGCTGTAACAGTCAGCCGTAACAACAGTCGCCTATAACAACAGTCAGCTGTAATAACATTCGCCTATAACAACAGTCAGCTGTAACAGTCATTTGTAACAACAGTCAGCTGTCACAACAGTCAGACAGACTCTGGAGGTGAACATCTCAATGTCCAGCAGCAGAGATACACCATGTGGATGCTCTGGTCACACAGTGTAGACCTTAGCTCTGCTGAAGTGACATCACTGTGATATTTTAAACAGATGTTGTTCCAGCTGTTTCATAAAGAATAGGTGTCCCAGTCTGACTGTTCCTGACACCTTTGGGATGAACTGGACCAGAGACTGAGAGCCAGACCTGAACACCAACACCAGTGCTGGACCTCACTGATGCTGTCCACATACTTTTATCTGTGTGTGTTGAGGACACAGGACAAACCTGTCACTATAAACTTCCTCTCTATGTCTCAGAGGGAAACTTTAACTGAACTTAACTGAGTTTAAAGCTGCAACCATCAGTCAATCAACACAAACTTTATTAATCAACAGCTGCTTTGACAATCAAATGATCATGTCATCATGTCTCTGAAGTGGAGAAAATAAAACTGGTTTAAAAAACCAAATGAGTCAATGCATCAAGAAAATAATCAAATGATTCATTGCTGATAATATTCAGTTGCAGTCACATTGGAGTTCATCATTAATCATTAATCACTGACATAATTAAACTGATCAGTTATAAATATGTTTGTTGTAGATTAAACTAGTAAAAGCACATGAAGCCGTTACAATGAACTCTCACTCATACATCAATAAGTTGATGATCAAACTTTACAGTTCAGTATTCACAGTAAACGTAGAAGCAGATGGAAATCACAGTCGCCCTGACTTCCATCTGTTTCTACCTTTACTGTGAATACTGAACTGTAAAGTCGGTATTTCTGCAGTGGGACATGAACTGAATGACCTGGACACTGAGTTTGTTCCTCTAAACAATCCTTTCATCAGTTTAACTGAAGGTCAAACTTTCTGTTTAGTTTGTTTAGCAACTGTTCAGTGTTGTTCTGTTTTCTGATGAAGACCATGGGATGTGGCTGAAAATACTGGAAAACCTTGTAAGTGAACCACGAACTGAAATGATGGTTCTGATTTAAATCAGGACATAAATGAAACTGAATGAACACACAGGAAGGTTCAATAATCCGCTGTGGTACGTCCAGAGCAACGTCATCTGAACCGAGTCAGTGAAACCTCATATCTCCAACCTGTCAGCTGAGGTCAGTTTAAATTTAACTGGTTCATCGCCTGCTGAAGCTTCTCTTCTCATTTACATCGGTATTTACAGAACGACGTCACCTTCCAATATCCCTCATGTTCACACTGTGTAAATGGAACAAACTGCCCTCAGACGGATGGCCTACATTTACCTCGCAGATTTTAAAGCTTTATTATCTGATGTTTTATTACTGATGTTCATGTTTTGTTGCCTAGTTCCTTTATTGTGTAGTTGTGTTGTCTTTGTTGTTGATTGTGTCTTTGTCGCTTGTCCTCAGGTCTCTCTTGAAAAAGATTTTCCTCTCAGTGAGACAGCCTGGTTAAATAAATGTGAGAATCCACCAGAGTGAGAAGGTTTAAGACCCTGGTCCTCCGATCCTACATGAGCCTGTAATCCTTCATCTAAAATACCAAGACTGGAGAAAGTGAGCAGCCAAGTCAGATGAAAACCACCTGACCAGTCTGTTTCTGTTTCAGACCACAAACTGGAGACTCAACATGCTAAGGCAGTGAACAGCAGCAGCTCACACTCAGGTCCAGCTTCATGTTTAACAACCAGAGACTGAGGTTCACAGTCCACCTGTCTGCAGAGGAAACAGCTGATAAAATCATGTGAATCAACTCAAATCTAGATGTGAAATTATTCACTGTCTCCTCATGAATCAGTCCTGCTGTGACTCCACTCTGGTCCTGAAGAACTGAAACCTGAATATCTGGTTTAAACCAGCTCTGGATTTTAAAAGTAAAAGTCACAGCACAACAGAAAACAGACGACGACTTCATCACTACAAAGACCACTGCACCCACTGAACCACGGGCGTTCAGGAGCACTCAGGGGAACAACTGCTCACTGACAGTTAATCATGTCTGGACTCTGACACTGGGGTTATTTCTTGACAGTTGATACACTAAATCAATTAACTGTGAAAATAATCAGCAGAATAATCAATAATAAAATAATCATTTGTCGCAGCCCTAATTAATTAACTGCAGTGTGACATTCTCCAGGACGTTCCCATGACTGAACATCTGCATTAAAAAGATGACAGATTCAAGGCGTCCTGTTGGACGTGGTCTAAAACAATGACTGTGGAACCAGGTCTCAGTCCGGGTCTGAGTCCAGCAGGGACCAGAATCTCCTGTCACTTCTCTGCTGTGATTCAAACAGTTCCAGGTTTTCCAGGTTTGGGAGGACACAAACGTCTCTCTGATCAAGAGCTGTGAACAGTTCAGGAGGGTGGACTGTTTCTACGGTAACACTTCCTGTCAGCTGTGCTGGGTAAGTTACCTGGTAAAATTTAATTTTTTTTAAAATGAGATCATTACTCACAGAGAGCTGTAGTAACTACTAACTAACTACTAACTAACACAAGATTACTCAGCAGCAGTTTGAGCAAAGTGTTTGATGGTTCTACGTCACATTAACTGAATCTCTGGGTTGGTTTCATTTACAGCTGAAACAATAATCAACTGACAGGAAATTAACATATTTGATAATCACTGAAATCATTTCCCACAATCCTCTGGTGCCAGTGTCTATGTGTTAGATTTCGTGTTTGTGAGACAGTCATTTAAGTTTTTACAAATGTTTTAGTGTCAATAACTGACCAGTCAATAATAAATAATAAAGAGGTTATCAGCTGTAAAGACTTAAAAGAGCTGCAGTGATTTATTAAATTAATGCTGAATTTACTGTTCACTGTTAACAGCTGCTTGCAGAGTTTGTGCTAAGCTAGGCTAACAGTTTCCCCCTTCTTCCAGCGTTTGTGCTAAGCTAACAATTTCCCTCTGCTTTCAGAATTTGTGCTAAGATAGCTTAATATTTCCCCCCGCTTCCAGAGTTTGTGCTAAGCTAACAATTTCCCTCTGCTTCCAGTGTTAGTGCAAATCTTAGCTAAAATAAATTACCCTACGTCCAGTGTTTGTGCTAAGCTATCTTAACAGTTTCCCCCCTGCTTCCAGAGTTTGTACTAAACTAGCTTAACAAGTTTCCCGTTTCCAGAGTTTGTGCTAGACTACATTAACAGTTCCCCCTGCTTACAGAGTTTGTACTAAGCTAGGCTAAGTTTCCCCCTGCTTCCTGTGTTAGTGCTAATCTTAGCTAAAAAAAATTACCCTACTTCCAGTGTTTGTGCTTAACTAACAGTTCCCCCTGCTTCCAGAGTTTGTGCTAAGCTAGTTTAACAGTTTCCCCCCTGCTTCCAGAGTTTGTGCTAAGCTAGCTTAACAGTTTCCCCTACTTCCAGTGTTTGTGCTAAACTAGCTTAACAGTTTCCCCTACTTCCAGTGTTTGTGCTAAACTAGCTTAACAGTTTCCCCTACTTCCAGTGTTTGTGCTAAACTAGCTTAACAGTTTCCCCTACTTCCAGTGTTTGTGCTAAGCTAACAGTTTCCCCCTGTGGAGAAAATTGGACAGTAAGATGTGACAGGTGGTTCTTTACAGAGGCCTACATGTGCCATATTAAATAAAATCATTTAAACACGCAGAACTTCCTCGTTTCTGTTGCCGACTGTGTTTAACAGCTGAGTAATGAACCATGATGTCAGGTTTGGCACCTGTGGGCTTCCATAGAAACGGTCATTTTACTCTAGTCCCTGACTCAGAGTACAGGTGTGTCCTGGGCAGGATGGCAGTACCACGAGACAAACACAGCCTGTAGCAGAGAGCACTAAGGCTCATGGGTAGTGTAGTTTTGTAGCATCAACATGAAGAAAAAACCTCTGACATCAGACGTCTAAGTGGTCTCCTGACAGACGGAGGCATTAAGAGGTGGACAGAATAATAGGAACACCTTAGAGTATGATGCAGGATGTGTGGTACTGGATGACATCACACTGTTCAGGTGTCTCTGTTCAGTCTAAGGGCCGTGTACCAGTGTGCTGGTCCTGAGGAGAACTAACCCTTCTGAAGTATGAGGTCATCTAAAGCCTGATGACGTCACAGTGACATCATCAGTCAATAAATGTCTCACATACAGTCAGTATCACAAGCCAGAGGCGTGGAGTTTGAAAACGTGGCCTGTAGGCTCTAATGAAAGACACTTTCCTATTGTTGCATTATGGGAAATGTAGGCTTCACGTGTTTTTGGACTAGAAGTCAGGATATCGTTTTTTAAAAATCAGTCTCCTGTGAGTCCCAGGTTAACGTTAGAGGACAGAGCAGGTGGGGGTTTACTCCCGGGGCCGTGGTGGTTAAACTGTGTTTGATGTGGAATTCAAACCTTTATTTAAACGTCTACAGAAGCCTGTTGGGTGATGTTCAGACCAGCAGTGTGACTGTGTGCAGGAACTTTATTCACTTTATTGATCCCTGCTAAAACTTTATTGGTCAAAGTCAAAGCCTGGGCCTTTATTGGATGGCTCTGCCCCCCTCCTCTCCACCCACACCACTGGGCCTACCCAAATCAGTTAAAGTAAATGATTGATGACTTTATTCAACACAATCAACCGTTTGTGTACACACAGAGAATCAGCCACATCAGGTAGAATATCAACAACAGATCACGGCAGTGTTGCAACAGCACACACTTACATCTGTCATTAATCAACCACAACAACAACAACATGTGGCGAGAGGTGAGGTGGCGCCCCCCTGTGGCTGCAGGGTGGTACTGCAGCGCACACAGTGAGCAGCTGAGACTCAGGGTAACTACAGAAAATGGTAGATTGGGTATAAACCTGGCTTCTCTAATGGCCTCCTTGTGAGCCTGGAACATCTTGACGTTGTTCATGTTGGACTGCCAGTACTTCACGTAGCCGCCGTGGTCCGCAGTCAGCATCCACATGTCATTGTGAGACCAGGTCATGGCTCGGACCGGACTATCGTGGGCCTGCAGGAGGGGACAGGAGAGACCAGGAGGACAGGCGTCAAAACATTTGGTTCATGTAACAAAGAGGTGAAGCAGTGAACCATCACCGTTTCCTTCAACATAGAAGCTGATCAGAGAGAGGAGCAGCTGTGACACGACACGACGTCAGGAGGTAAAACTGCTGCAGGTTTGAATACGACACATGAAGCTGCAGGAAAGTGCTCGGCCTGCACCATGTGAGGAAACTCTGCGATGTGTGGAGGCAGTGACAGAACCACAGGAGAGCAAATCAGAACCAAAACATTTGATAAAACAGATAATTATTCCGACGCTCTGGTTTATTTTCTGGTGGATTATTTGATGTTTGACTCCTGTGATCCTGACACCGTCCCTCGTCAGCGCCCTCTGGTGGACGAACCCTTTAATGGAGACATTGACTGGTCCCATGTTGACTTCACTTTATTTTATCGAGTCACAAACTAAAAGAGGAGATTAAAAATCTGGTTCAGGATGTTTTTTGTTTTGTGACTTTAATGTTTAATTTTATAAAAAATAATTGAAGAGTTGTGTCGCTATGGTGTCACTTCTCTGCAGGTGGTTGGTTACAGGAAATACTATGAACATGTGTGAACTGTTACTGCAGAGAGGCGTCATGGCGGCAGAGAGCAGACTGTGTCATCGTTTCTACACGTTGACACTAAAACACAACAAACTGAGACAGCAGCGTGTCTGCAGTGTGGACGCCAGGCGAAGACAGAAGTGACGTGTTTTAACACTAAATGGAGCCAGAGACAAGAGAAAGATCATCAACTATCACAGTTCACGGAGCTCAACACAAACACTGCTGTTGAATCTGTGTGGCTCAGAACACGGTCACTCACTGACTGTCTTTAACAATGGATTTTCTCCAACTTTAAATACAACTCAATATCTTCTGCTCAGAAACTCCAACTCTGAACCAGCAGCTCAGGATGTCGTTCTCCTACATGCGTCACTAACATATGCCAAAACATAACCAGGAAGTGGATGGGGGGGATGGTTTTTGTAGGGCGGAAACAGAATGAGGCTCAATAATTGTTTAATCTCAATTATCTTGTTTTCATAATCATTGGGAGACAAAATCATAATCGGACATAAAACCTGAAGAATCGACCAACTCGAACAGAAATGATGGATGTTTACCTGTAAAATGGTCTCAAAGTTGAAGGTGAGTCCGTTCCACAGAGTGAACTCTCCACTGGAGGCTCCGGTGACCAGACGACGACCCTCAGGAGTCCACTGGAGACAGACAGACAGAACCAGTTTGTCTCTGCAGCCGACATGTCCTCAGTGTTTCACATCAACATCCTCAAACTGAGATTCAGTTAGACCACGCCTCAAACCAAAGCTTCACAACACAAACAGTAACAATCACACTGACAGGGTCGGTGTGGACAGGAAGTGATGCGGCAGCTTACTCTGATCACAAACACCGGACACTTGACTTTGTTGGTGGAGGTTCGGACGAACTTGGTGGTGACAGCGTTCATGGGGTTGTTCAACATCCCGACAGGAGGAACCAGCTGCAGCAGACACAAAGCACCAGGCTGTTAGTTTGATGGTTCCCAACATTCAGACTGGACCTGGACCTGACCTGGACCAGAACCTGGACTTGGACCAGGACCAAAACCTGACCAGGACCTGGACTATGACCTGGGACCTGGACCAAGACCTGACCAGGACCGGGACTGGGACTATGACTATGACCTGGGACCTGGACCTGACCAGGACCAGGACCTGGACCTGACCTGGGACCAGGACCAAGACCTGACCAGGACCGGGACCAGGACTATGACTATGACCTGGGACCTGGACCTGACCAGGACCAAGACCTGACCTGGGCCTGGGCCAGGGTCTGGACCTGGACCAAGACGTCATAAAGGTAAAGGAGGACAGGTAAAGGTCTCGTGTTGTCTGGACTCACGTCATTGTAACATCCTGCGTCGGGCTGGATGGCTCTGAAGTCTCGGTGGTCTCGCTGCCACAGACGGTTCTGCACAGGATACACAGACAGAGTTAGTGAAAGTGTCATCGTACAGACAGTGATTGGTCAGCGTGACGTTAGTGACACTTTGACCCGCCCACATTCATCCTGTAGAGTCACTGTAAACATCTAATGAACGGTTCCAGGGCTGTAAACTAACGGTCATCACTCGCTAAATGCGACTAAAATATTCCCCTGGCGACTTAATTTTGGAGGGCTACATGCCACGGGGCAGGTAAATGTTTGTCACTATATAGCAAAACATTGCTGCTATAAAATGCCTAGACATTTTTGGAGGTGCACGTTGACGGACGCAGAGGCTCTGTGTCGGGGGTTCACGTTCACGCAGAGGCTCTGCGTCGTGACGGCGTCGACTTGACACAGTAGTATAAATCAGCCTTCACGCGTCACCACCAGCCCGCACAGTGTGGCGCAGCAATGTGGAGGCACATACCCGGTGTGACTGACCCAAAAAGAAAGAGTACAGAGGAGATAGATGGAAAGGAGGATGAAAAAGGCGAAACGTCAAAGAGAAAAGCAAGAGTAAGAAACTTCAATGAGAAATGGAAGATTCGGAGGGAATGGCTGCAGTACGAGGAGGCGGCGGGTATCATGTTTTGTTCAGTTTGTAGAAAATATGCTAAAGAAAAGCAGCGCACCAATTCATTTGTGGTTGGCAATAAAACGATGAAACTCGAGACCATCCGAGAGCACGAAGGAAGCAAATGTCACGCTGTTTGCACCGTGCGAAGAGGGTGTGACAGTGATGATGAGTTCTGATTAGATCATGCACGGATCCACTTTGTTCTGTTCTATTTTTTTTTTTATTTTCTTTGAATTTTGTATTTATCATTTGTTATCAGAACAGGAGGTTAACTGGTACTGGCACTGTCCATGTTCGCAATGTTTTGAATATTCAAAAGATTAAAAATGTATTTTGAATAATATTTTGGCTCTTTTCTGAATATATATCGTTATATAATTCTGTTATCTCAATGAAAAGTACTGAAACAGATGTATATGTAACAAAAAGAGGCAATTTATTACTTGGCCGGTAGATTTTTTCATCTACCCGTCCCCTTGGCAGGTGAGCCAAAAAGTTAGTTTACAGCCCTGAACGGTTCATATATACGATAATAAACCAGACAGAGAAGAGACCAGTGACCGGTCTAACTCTCAGAACAGATACTAGTGTCTAATTTAACTAGTGTAATTTACCTAGTGTCTGATTTAACTAATGTGATTTAACTAGTGTCCGACTTAACTAATGTGATTTAACTAGTGTCTGACTTAACTACTGTGATTTAACTAGTATCTGACTTAACTAATGTGACTTAACTACTGTGATTTAACTAGTGTCTGATTTAACTAATGTGATTCAACTACTGTGATTTAACTAGTGTCTGATTTAACCAATGTGATTTAACTAGTGTCTGACTTAACTAATGTGATTTAATTAGCGTCCGATTTAACTAATGTGATTTAACTAGTGTCCGAATTTACTAATGTGATTTAACTAGTGTCCAACTTTACTGTGATTTAACTAGTGTCCGACTTAACTAATGTGATTTAACTAGTGTCCGATTTAACTAATGTGATTTAACTAGTGTCTGATTTAACTAGCGTCCGACTTAACTACTGTGATTTAACTAGTGTCTGATTTAACTAGCGTCCGACTTAACTACTGTGATTTAACTAGTGTCCGATTTAACTACTGTGATTTAACTAGTGTCTGATTTAACTAGCGTCCGACTTAACTACTGTGATTTAACTAGCGTCCGACTTAACTACTGTGATTTAACTAGTGTCTGATTTAACTAATGTGATTCAACTACTGTGATTTAACTAGTGTCTGATTTAACTAATGTGATTTAACAAGCGTCCGATTTAACTAATGTGATTTAACTAGTGTCCGACTTTACTAATGTGATTTAACTAGAGTCTGATTTAACTACTGTGACTTAACTAGTTTCTGACTTAACTAATGTGATTTAACTAGTGTCTGATTTAACTAATGTGATTTAACTAGTGTCTGATTTAACTACTGTGATTTAACTAGTGTGTGACTTAACTACTGTGACTTAACTACTGTGATTTAACTAGTGTCTGACTTAACTAATGTGATTTAACTAGTGTCAGATTTAACTAGTTTAACTGGTCACAGAATATTTTGAATGTCATGTTGAAAAACCAGCTGTAACAACAGGTGGACATATCCATCTGAATGTCTGTGGTACAGTCAGATCTTATCACAGCGCCCCTGGTGGACCAACGCCTCGTTTCATGTGAACCCTCCTCAGATCAGTTCTATATATAAACTGAGGTTTAAGTGATTCCAGGTGTGGTCACCTCCAGGTATCTGATGACAGATGGGTTGTAGTCGATGGTTTTGCGGTTCACGGCCTTCCTCATGCGTTTCCCGTCGAAGGTGAGCTGCTGCATGGCCTGCTGCTGCGCGAAGTCCGGCCTCTTGTAAAACACCTGCCGCGGCGCCTGGTGCTGGAAACGTGGCATGTGGAAGAAGCGCTGCGGCGAGCCAATGTCTGTCGCCATGGTGACCGGCTAAACCTGCAAGTGGAGGAGACCAGGTGGTTAGTCAGGCTGGTGTTGACTGGAATCGAGATCCAGCATCAGATCTGATCCTGGTCAATCTTAGTGGGTTTTACTTCCTCATTTGTCACTGGCTGAAGTTATAAATAAAGTTTAGTTCAGACCTGGGATCAGAGGCAGCTGCTAATTAATGTTGACAACCAGAACATGATCCTGATCCAGGACTCTGATCATAACGAGCTCCAGATATCGATCTAATGACTCTGCTGTGTTTAACAAGCTGCGATCAGCTGATCGTTTCTCTGGTGAACTACACAGACACAGTTCACTGGATGAGTCATGTGTCTTCACTCACAAACAATCTTTGGCAGAGTCCAGTCAGCAGCTTGGAGAGAGCTCATTAACCTACTAACATTAATTAGCTTAATTAGACTGAGTGAACAGAACTCTGCTGGTTAGTTTTTCCTGTGTGAAGGAGCCACGGTCGTCCCAACAACAAAAACCAAGGAACACATGCTAAAGACGCAACGTACAGCTGCAACATTCAGTCGATCAGACAATTTACCTGCAACTCTTAAAACCCTCCGGATCCATTGATGATTTTTTATACATTCATTTCTTTGTGTTGCACCTTTAAACCGTCCCCAGTCCACATGCATCGTTTCCCTTTTCCACAACAAACTGCTGTAAATCTGACAAATTATAAACAGCTGGGAGCCCAGGATATGAAACATAACTATTATATCTTTAGTCACAATCAATCAAAATATTATAGAAAAGCTCAAAGCTGTAAAAACTATTCTTTTACTATTTGTTCACACTAATGCAGCAGGAACATGTAAGAAAACTATAATACCCTTTTACATGTAAAGGGATTTTATTTTTGTGCCTTTTTCACTAAAATTATAAATCGTGTAAATAACGGAAAATACGAACAATTCAGACTGATCATGTGTAAAAGTCCCACATCAGCACTTTCAGCTGATGTCCTCAGCTTGTCTCTACACGATATATAATGTAACTGTAATAAAACAGTTGCCACAGATGGACTCCAGAGGGTTAATCAATAATCACTTAATTGTTTGTCATGTAAAAAAGCCAAATATTTTCTGGTTAACGACTCAACAAACATGAACACATCTGCTGCAGCTACATTTTCACTGTTTTTGACATTTCATAGAGAAAAAAATTATCACAGATTAATTAACTTTAAAAACTAATTGTTAAACGCATCTCTGAGTGAAAGTAAAAAGTGAGAGAACCGAAGAAGAGAGGATGTGAGAAGAGAACAGAGAAGTTTAACAGGTATAATCAGAATAAATCTATCACATATAAACAGCTTCCATTCATAATCCCTCTATAACTCATCTGTAATTTCTCACATGTTCAGAAAGGCTCTGATCAGTGATTCATTCACTCCAGCTGGTTGTTTTTACTGATAGGTTCTGTGCACGTAAGCTTTTCAAATGGCTCAATGTTTACTTTTTATTTGTCTATTATTTTTATGTAAATAAATTTTTTAATTTTTAATGAACAGTGACAATTTTTGCAATTTTTATTTGTTCCCACAGTTTCATTGCAAAAAAAAAAACCTAAATTGCAATTTCTGTTAGAAAAGCTGCTGTGAAATCAGGTATTTTCCAATCCCAAAAAAAGCCTGAAATCCTGACATTTGGCTCAAGTGTCCATACTGACACTACAAAGATGGCCATGGTTAATACCATTCTGCCTCTAGAGGGCGCTGTAGTTTGAAAAAGGAGAAAGAAAGTTGCTACAAGTCACTGCTACTCCCAGAGAGTGATGGTTAGAAACATGGTTCCTCTGACATCATGTGAACAGCTCGCTGAAATCTCTTGATTAATGAGTTATGAATCTTTTAATTAGTAGTCTCTAACATCTCAAACACTGAAGACTTGACAGATGGTCACTGATGAAACGCCTCAGACACAAACTGCTGCCACAGCGCCACCATGTGGCCGCTTACAAAACATCCTGGTGTTTGTTGATAAAATCTTGAAATTAGAAGAAAACATTCAGACATAATTCAAGATTTAACACGACACCATGGCAACAGGACGGCTTGAGGGAGGGGAACAATGTGACTGTTTGACTAACAGCTTTTATTAATTCCCGTTATTATTATTGATCTATTACCAAAGAAGATTTGAATGGAACAATAAAACAGGAGTGGACAATGAGGATAAGATGTGCGTATTTAATGTCATGTCATGTTGTGATGTAAAAAATTATCTGGAGAAACTACTGAGAAAGTCACTGTTGGTTAATCCAGTGAATTAAATACCTGACAGATAAATTTATGCAAAACCAATAAATCTGTTCTGATTGATTTAAATATTGAACAAAACTCATATTTCCAGTACAATCATTAAAGACACTACACACACGTATGCACTGGTTTATTTGGTTGTGCAGCGCATCAGGACAGATCGTCAACACCTACAAATGTCCACTCTGTTACCTCTGGTTTATCAATCTTCTTGTGTGAGTGTCACAGAGCGGTTTTCCCGGTAATTTCTGAACCGAGTTTTGACGGTCACAGAAACTTGAACATGGCAGTTGCAGCTGTCATCATGGTTACCCGGTCTATAGTGAGATATTCCAGCGAATATCATGAGAACAGACATTGACTGATCAAGACGTCAACATGAACTCACACTTGACGACGACCAGGAAACTACAGGAACCACAGCAGAGGCCACACGCCAGTCAACAAACCTGACCAGCTTGTGACACCATCAGACCTGCCTGGTCTGGACCATCAAACTCAGTTTTCACTGCGACTCAGACCAACTACAAACAACAACATGGTTACCGTAGCCCCCCGCCACCGTTTCCCCTACATACAACAACAACTACATACAATCCACAGCGGTGTCACTGCTGCAATGTCACCATTACTCGACTCTGCAGAGGGCTTTTAAGTTTACAGAGACAGGAAGGGAAGATATGTGGTCAAAGCAAAAGAGGGAGAGAGAGGAAGAGGAGAAAAAAGAAAGAGGTAGAATTAACAGCTATCATTAAGCTAGATAGATGTTTATGTGACCTATTGACGTTCACTCAGACCACCGGCGTGCACGCGCACACGCAAACGCGCACACACACACGCAAACGCGCACGTGCACGCACGCACACACACACACACACACACACACCATAGTGGGCCTGGCTGTCAGGACTACCAGACCTGATCAATCCAATAAGAGCGTTTATTTATCTATAGTCTGACTGTGTGACAGAACGTAGCCTCAGGTAAGTGAACACTAAGACAGGTGTTTCACAGACTCACACCGACGGTACAGGTATAACTGGAAGAGTTTCATATGAGACAGATAACACAAGATAACTTTTTAAATCTGGGCCTTATTTTCCTGGTTCCAGTCTAAGTGATTGACTGACAGAGGAACAGTTTAACTGGCAACCAGGAAACAGCTGCTGCAGGGTAAACAAGTAAACAACAGTTTAGTTTGTTATTCTGTGACAAACACTAACACACTAACCAACCCAGACACTGGTGTTCTAGCTTGTTCTGGGAGGTAAAAACACTGTCAATGGAGTCTGCTGGTGATACAACGGCTGACTGTGGTTGAACAAAAAGAACCTCACTCTTTAAATAAAAGGTCAGCTATCCCTCAAGGAGCAAAAACCAATCAGACAACAGAGTTCAACACAACACCAAGCCTGTTAAGGTGTATTTAGTCTCAGTCGCACAATCAACCTGTTTGATCGTTAATAACACGTCCTGAAGTTACTGAGGTTAATATGAAGAAACAAAACAATAACCAAACTGATTGTAAAGCTACTACAGAGTACCTACACCATTGACTCCTCCCAGAATTCTTCACCAGGCTTTACACCAGACCTACACATTGCTATGGTAACAGCCTGCAGAGTGTTTACATTGTTTATCTTTAGCCAAAAATCACCTGTGGTCCTTTGCAGGCTCAATCCACCATCCAAATGTTCCCACCAAAATAAAACAGTACAGCTCTGAACCTGCTGTGACTCAGTGAGACCCCAGACTCTTCAGTTTTATACGTGACGTGATTTAGAAATCTGTGACTGAACTTTACACAAACTTGAACCAAAGTTTAGAGGAAAATAACGGCTGAGACCAGGGACCATGGACCTGGATTTCACACTAATTTCTGAATATGTACAAACTTAATTTCCTAACACACATAGACAAGACTGTAAATCCTCAGTAAACTGGCATTTATGTATTTTACCACAAATGACACCTGGTCCCTTACACCTGACTCCATCATCCAAATGTGATGACCCCCCCGCCCCCACCCCAACAGACAGCACCACAGGTGTGACCCTGCTGTAACTGTATCTGACCCCAAACCCTTACGTTTAGTTCGTTATATCTGTGACTGAAGTTCAAACAAGTCATAACTGAAGTTAACCGGAGAATAAAGTCTGAACTCTCCTCCTGGATCCAGGCGCGATGGACCTGCATTCGAGGCGGCATGTGGGGATGTAGCTTCTCAGACAGCCTCTTTGGGTCTCGGAAGTTACTGGTGTTGTTGTGGGGAGACGGGAGAGCGGTAAGCGGACGGTGTGCAGCACGAGGTTTCACCGCTTCTACAGCAACTAACACGGAGCTCCCGCTGCCATCCGGTGAGCCCGCACCGTCTGACAGGAGGTTCACCTCAGAGCCAACTGCCCTGGTGACATACCGCGACTTTGCGGTACCGGTTATCTCTCTGGAGCAGTGTTTTCTTTTAAAAACATCAACGTCTCCAACGCATTTAGCTTCGGGGGCTAACTGTGCTAGCAGGCTAACCGCCAGCAGCTTGTACAACACTCAGCGGGTCCTGGCTGACACTCTGACCGCCGAGAGGTGCTTTTAATCTGGTGTTTTCAACGAAACAACCCACCGGACCGTGTCGGTGGGTACCCGGGTATCCGAGGCTGTTCGCGGTGTTGTTGTGTTCGTTAGCCCGAGTTAAATGGCGGCCCGGTCGTTACAATAACGACGCGCTGCAGCTCCAGAACTCACCAACAGTCTCCGCAGCAGAGTTAGCTATCTGGCTGTCATGAACGGGGGAGATTCTTCGTTCCGTAACGTGTTTCTCTGGAGAAACATGGAGCTATCACACTTTATTCAGCTGAACATGAGGCGGGTTTGTCCCTTCAGCTGCCTGCGGACTCCATCATGACGCTTCTTCTTCTCGGCCCTGCTGAAAAGCATGCCGGGAGGTTTTCGCAACGGGCGGGAGTTCGTGGCGTCATCACGCAGAGGGTTCTGGGAAACTGAGTTTTACATTAAAAATAATTTATTTTCTTTACAATTCGTGCATAACATCATTTTGTGTTAAATTAATTATTAGGTTTATTTATTTTATTTTTATTCATTTTCTTTTGAATGTTGAACTGAATCTGTTTTTTCTTAAATGTAACATCATCATATTATCTTTCTGTGAACCTCCCGCTGCAGTATCGTTAACTCAGAGATAGATAGATAGATAGATAGATAGATAGATAGATAGATAGATAGATAGATAGATAGATAGATAGGCCAACATACTTTATTAATCCCCTAGGAGAAATTCATGAATAATGTAATGTACATTTTATACACAAATAATTCACTTTTACTTGAGTACAGTTTATCAGTTCTCTTTCCATTTCTGTAAATGACCTATAGACGACAACATGCAGGACTTATAATACCAATATAGCTAAATAGAGTGAGTTGTAGTCCAGTGGTTAATGTTTATATACAGTATGGAGGCCTGGCAGAAGAACCCAAACATAAATAGTACATTTTTTATTTCCACCAGATCAGTGCTTTTAGTTATACTGTAGGTATGTTAATAAGACTCACAGCTGTCTCATTCTACTCAACGAAGACAGCAAAACAAAGCCAATCCACTTTTTACTGTGTGACAAATTTATTGATTTTACAAAGAAAATGTCCACACAAAAATATCTGTTACACACAGAGATCATTTTAAAACCATCATCACTGACTCTGTATATATAACTGTATAACAGTATAAATGTAAAAAGAAGCTATTCATACCTGCAGCAGTAAAAAGGGTTGGGAATGCGTACATAAACTGTAATGAGTTTGGATGTTAGCAGGTCTGGTAGCTGAGTGTTACACTGGGAAACCACAGTGTTCTCAGTTTGGTTCCAGCTGCTTCTCTGTGCCCATGTTTCCTGTCTGCCTCTCTACTGTCACACAAACCCAAAACCACCCGCACAGAAAGGCTCATAGTTTGAAATGTGACGAGGAAACGTTGTCACTTTGCTCGACCAGTGAAAGCTCTGGTGTGTGACGCATATGCAGCTTTACAGTTCACGTTACTGTGAACTCCTGCGCTCTGCAGAATGTGGACGATGTCACAGTCCCCGAGACCTTTGACTGGAGGACCCATCGTGACCCTGAACATCTCGTAGGGCGGGATGAGCACCTCCTGCTCTTCAAGTCTAATGGCTGAGTAATGCTTGAGGAAAGCACCTGCACAGGTTTTAATCTGAAAGCAGGTCTTATGACCGAAGTGGGTCAGGCTTGTTTTGTAGGAGCTGGAGGCAAAGAAACCGAAGCGGACGATGTGTCCGACCTGTGCGGTCAACTGGAGTTTGGTTCTTCGGTACGTGGTGTTACACTTCATATTGTCACTGAGAATCTGCACAGCAGACGTCAGCCAGAAGTGCAGGGAGTGAAAGGGGAAGGAGGTGGTGTATTTGCTCATGTCACTCCTCACATGATGATTGAACGTCTTGTAGAACTCCTTGTAGTTGGTGGTGTAAGCACAGATGGCTCTCAGGTGGTCTTTTGTCAGAGCCTCGTCCCCCTCACTCTTCTCTCTCAGTCTTTTGTTCGCACAGGATTCAGCTTTCCTCCAGACATGAGCGAACGCTCCAGAGTTCTCTCTCTTAAAGTAAGAGTCTGTCACCTGTTTGCTCATGGACCCGTTGCAGCCAAAGTACATGTCGTCTACTGCGTGTGTCATCATGCTCATGGAGACGGCCTGCTTCACCCGCGGAGACGCGAAGCTGAGACGGATCTGAAACAGAGACAGAGACGCAGAGTGTAAACCTGGACAGGATGGTTTACTGAGGGAGACGCACCATTACACGTCTTATTGAACAGGCCCAGACTTCTACATATCAATCAACCAATCAATCAAACTTTATTTATACAGCACTTTTCATACAGGTCAAACAGCTTCAGACTGATGAGCTAAAAATAAAATGCCAAATCTAGTGAGAAAACTGACGATGAGAAACAATAAAATATGTTTTAAAAAGCTGTAATAACATCAGCAAAAAACAATATGAAAATTAATAATAAAAGAACAGATAAAATAGAATAAAATACAATTTAGAACATAATTACAATAAAGACATAATGTGCTTACTATCCACGCAGACATGTAATATATGACATGTATGTCCCTATATCAAGAGTGATGTGACCTATATTATTATCATGTGTACATCCTCTGGATATATGAATATATAGGTTTATAACATATGTGAAATACCCATGGTAAAATGTGCACATGTACATATATTAAAAATATCTATTTGATGAATTTTGACATGGTATAAGATGTTGGATCCATATTATTTAAAACGATTTATATTTAATTTATGTATGAATGTTACTGAAACATTGTACATACAAAACTTCTATATGTTTATATGTTTTTCTTATTCATTTCTCATTGATTTTAAACATGTCTAACTTCACATTCTGGGAAAGTCTGATACTTTTTATAATATCAACATATACTGACAGTCTGTGGTGGATATATATTATTGTAACATATGTCTACAATATAAACATACATATTTGTATGGGCTGGACATAAATGTAAACATATGAAATTATTAGTATTTCTAATTGGTTTCGGATATAATTCTTCACACGTTTTTATTTTATATGTACATATACTGTATGTCATACATGGAAATGTAATATATTTGCGTATGGGCTAATACTAAGGCTAACACTTGTAGAGTATATCTTCAGCAGGAGAAACGGAGCAGACACAGGTGGTGATAACTGGAGTCTCCACCCATCACTCAGTGGAACTGAAGAGAGGGGTCAGAGCTGACTCACCTTCATGGAGTCCACAGGTAGAGTCCAGCACAGGAGCAAACCCAGCAGCAGCATGTTCCTCATGGCAGAGATACACAGAGTTAAAGAAGCAGAGCTGCTCAGGATGAGAAGGTTTCAGACCTTCAGCTCAACACTCTGATCAGATGGTGACTCCTCCCCCTGTGGTCTGTCCTGTCTTCACACCTCCATGCAAGAACATGTGCAACCTGCAGCAGCCAACGTCTGTGGGTAAACTTGTGAAAGTCGAGAAAACTGTCTGTGTGATAGTGACAGAGTGTGTGGTCTCATATTTGTGTATGTGTGTCAGTGTGTGTGTATTATCTGACTAATCAAAGAGCTGAAAACCAGAACCAATCAGTCAATCAATCAATAGAAACAGTTAGTGGATGCACACTACAGAGTCTGTGCTGATTATCTATGTTTGCAGCTGCAGCAGTGAAGGAATCAAACCTGTGACACCTCCAACAGCTCCACACATTCACAGTCTGTCCTCACACACTAACAACACTGATGGTGGTCTTCCTTCTGCACCACCCCCATCCACCCCCCACCCCCACCCCCTCAGTCATGTCTGAATGTCATGCACTGGCAAAATAACTATATATATATATATACAGTATATATACGTATATAAAATGTTTCAGTTGCAGCTGTGACAATATATTAATAATAACTGGTGAACTAGTCTGTAGCCACTGGTTAACTACACTGTAAAAAAATAGTTAAAAAACGGTCAAATGACTGGCAGCAACAGCTACCAAAAGTAAAACATCCTAATTCAAATAAAGTGTAAAAACAATAAATTTACAGAAAGTTTCATTAATATTTCTACAGAGAAAAACTGTTATTTTACAGATTTCTCCTAATTTATTATGATCAAACTCCTTTAATAAAGTGAATCCACTCAAGTTTCAGATTTTTCCTAAATCATTATGATCAAACACGTTTGATACAGTGATGCCACTCGTAGTTCTGCAGAGAAAAACTGTTATTTTACAAATTTTTCCTAAATTATTATGATCAAACACCATCAATAAAGTGATGCCACTAAAGTTTCTGCAGAGAAACTTTTTCCTAATAATAAAATTAAGTGTCAGTCAATTAAATATTAACACATGCTTAATATTGTAATGTAAACCTTTTGTTTTGGAAGACAAAGTAAAAAAAAACAAAACATGTAAGACATTAAAATCATCTCAAACTTCAACTTGCAGTATTTGTGTTAACATTGAATCTTTAAATATGTAAAGTAATGTTAAAACCTGTAGAAGCACAATCTAATTACAATATTTAATGATTCAGATTCAGATAAATCTTCTTACATTTCTCATAAAATATTATAAACTGAAGAAATGCAAATTAAACTGTCAAGTCTCTGTATGTAGTCTTTCAACAAAAGTGGGGTTGGGAACTTAATTACAAATAACATACACACCACTATTGACTTTATAACACTTTTATTTAATATATTCAGATGTAAATTTACAATATCAACCAATTATTCACAAATAGTTCTTCAGAGCCCCGGGATGATCTGAAGAACTGAAACTGGCATTTCTCCATTGGTCTATCTTGCCTGTTAAGGTTCCTATAATGAGGAGGTGATGATGTCACCTCTGAAAGAGGGGGGGCTGTGGAGCTGAGGGGGGGTGGTCTGTTGTTTTTTAGCTTGTATCTTCTAATTCAGTTTTATCTTGTTTTCCACAGTATTCTCCATATAGTTCTGACAACATATGTGGACAAACATTATACTATCTTTTATGTCAGAATCCCAACTATACAGTGTATTAATAAGTCTAACCCTAAAGCCGGATTTCCACCGGGCGCGTCAGCGCCGCGGAACGTCAGCGCCGCGGTCACCGCAGCCAAACGCTGCCACTCTAATCAATGCTAGTATTTCCACCAGAAGCGCTGCGACGCGTCTCAGCAGCGTCTCATCAGCGGCTCGCCGCGCCGCAGCGCTATCAATCCGTAGCAGTTCTATTTTTGCCGCTCACGTTGCTAAATCGCGTCAAGCTCAACAGAGTAGATTGCACCAGACAGGAAAACAGACACAGTATCAAAGTAAAACACTTCCGCCCCCTTTCAAAATAAAACACAACACGCACGTAATCTAATGTCACATCAACATTATGTATCAGAGCGGTTGATATTAACGGAGTGGCGACAGCTTTTGATGTCGCCACTCTGTTATATCAACCGCTCTGCACTGTATCAAGAACAACGATCTCGCGTACGTTCCGTATTCTCGCGTGAATACGGCTGGCTCGCAAGGCAGCGCTGCGCTGCCGTAACACGTCCGGTGGGGATTGACGCCGGGCTGAGGACGGAGCAAAACCGCGGCGCTGACGTTCCGCGGCGCTGACGCGCCCGGTGGAAATCCGGCGTAACCCCTAATGTTAACAATGATATATTGCAATAAATGATAATGTTGATAATGGCAGAAATGAACTTGTGCTCGTACAGTACATAGAGCTTCCCCCCATTTTCATTAGTGCTACCATTAGCAGCTAGCTTGCTGGCATTGGTCATTGATGAATGAATTTAACGATTTCATTATAAAATTGCAAAATAACAAGTGGGGGGAGGCTAGTTTGCTAGCATTAGCAGCTAGCATTAGTATTAGCAGCTAGCAAATTATGAGATTATTCAAAATAATACAATGTAAAAAAAGTGAGAACTTTCTAAATGCACTGTATGTCTAACTGATCTGTCCAACAGCCATCTCTAGTTTTCTTTCCCGCCAGGAAGTGTCTCTAGGATGAGGTGTAATTCAGGCAGTTTATGTTCTTACAGCTGCTTTCACACCACTGCTGTGTGTGTCCTAAATTCACACACAAATATTAACATTAACATTTGAAACCTTTCTCTGTCTCTCTCTCTCTCCAGGTGACAAAGAAGCTGCTGGTGCTGCTTCTGAAACAGTTGCCTGGGTTACCAAAGTTGGTGTGTTGTCTTACCAGGATGGCGGCCGGATTGATGACGCCACATCTTGGAGGTGGACCCCCGGAGGAGCCTGTTGTCACATTGAGGCACAGTGGTCCGAGCTGGAGGGGAAGCACAGGATGATCGGCCTGACTGTTGCCAAGGTGATCCAGAGGATCTCTTGGGAGGAGTGGAGGCTCCACTGTTGGAGGTGGACCCCCGGAGGAGCCTGTTGTCTCATTGAGGCATAGCGGTCCGAGCTGGAGGGGAAGCTGTTGACTGTTGTCATGGTGATCCAGAGGATCTCCTGGGAGGAGTGGAGGCTCCACTGTTGGAGGAGGACACATGGGGCAGAGGAGACGTCCTCCTCATCCAGGATCTCCACGTCACCCTGGACGTCTCTTTGCTGGATTCTCTCTGCATCCAGGACATATGGAGACACAGAGGAGCCACCAGCTGCATTCAGGACCCAGCAGGTGCAGCTGTACAGAGACTGGTAGACTGACAGAGGGGCGAGGTCAGCCTTCTGGTTTCTACCTTAACCACTTCATCCCAGGTACATGCGTGTGTCTCAGAGCTTGTGATTCAGTATATTGTGTATTATCATGCAAACATAAAATTCATTTTTGAACCAAAACCTTTTTCCTCAAGCCAGTGCCAAGTACTTCCAAACTCCTGGTAACACCTGCCAGACAGAGCAGGAGGAAGAGCGAGGTGTCTTCCCTCCCAGAGACCAGGAGAGGCAGCCCAGGTGACAGTTCAAGGCAGCGACGGGGAAGAACACCTCCTGTCCTGGGAAGGAGAGTCTCCAGAGGTGAGAGTCACTTCAGATATCACTGTTTCCTCTAATGAATATCAGATCTATATTAACACACACTGCTCTCTGATTATCTTTCAGATGTCTTCTTGGACTGAACTCGGGCCCTGCTAACTGGGCCAGTGTTAGCCGCCTGGTGGAGGCCGTTTGCAACCAGCTCTGCGTCTTCACCCGGTGGCCACGTGGTCCAGAGGGACCGTGAGGACTCGCTGGTCATTCATTCTCAAGGATTATGTCGCATCAGAGAGGCAGTGCTGGCCGGCCCCAGGTTGATGGCTCAGACCAACATCCAGCTCTTTGAATGGAATTGAGGACTCAGTGGTAAGAGTTTGTCATGAAGCTGTTGGTGTGTTGGAATCTGTTCTGTGATTTATCTTTTAATGAAAGCTGAAAATCCTTAAACACTCTGTTTGTCTGTGTGTTCCAGGTGCTGGCCAGACTCTCCCTTCAGCAAAGGGTCTGTCCTTGGTCCAGGTGGGACAAGGACAGACCTTAACTTCAATGTCCCGGAGGAGCAGATTAACATGAAAACGGTGTTCAGTAGGAAACAGATGGAACTGACCAACCAGAACTGCAACCTGGAGAAAAACCAGACTCTTCATAGATGTGATGCTGTGACCTCAGAGACGGATGTGTTCACCTCACACACTCTTTAGTGTGAACTGAACACTGACAGTTCAGATTGTGAAGCAGTTGTCAGTGTAGTACAGCTCATGTTCATTAGTTTTATTCAGAACTTCATTGTTGTCATGGAAAAGGTTTTTAATAAAAGAACCTGTGATTAAATTATACTGAGTATGTTTGTTCATATTTACCATCTGCCTCATGATGAATCTAACAGTCACTTTGGTGAATCAGTGTTTTCATTATTAAAATTGGTAAGTTCATAAGACAAATTAGAAAAGCACAAACTCTAGTATCTGTCTCTAGATCCTGTATTGTCACTGTTGAAGGACGGACACATTTAAACATTTCTATCATGTTTGTTGTTGATTAAAGCAACATAGAAAGTCTTTGATTAATTACAGATTCAGGAAAAACTTCAGTGTGTTGTGATTTCTATACTGTGCTGCTGCTACTGTTAAAATTCATACCAGACACGCTCCATAAAAACCACCAACAAAGCAAAGCTTCATAAAAACTTTATTTCACATTAAAACTGCATTAATTTCAACAATTTACAATCAACTGTAACTGACAAATTAAAACTAGAATACAGTTGTGAATGAAGGTGCAGGTGAACTTCACTGACACAACACAAGTCTGCATCATAAAGAGGTGGATAAATCTTATTTAGTAACAAGTATAAATTATAGTAGAGA